CTATGAGGCATATATATATATATATATATATACGTGATTGGATACTTGCATACCATGTGAGAGGTTGGTCAACATACTAGACTCACCCAAGGTGTGACTTCAACCTAGCAAGAGTCGTGCAACCCCTTTCTTATGGAACCACTTAGAAGTGTCGTAGGCATGTCACATTTTTTCACCTAGCATGACTCATGCCACATAGCTCATGTCCCTATCTAGTGCACTTAGGTGTATGGCTCATATTTAGCAAGAGTCATACACCCTAATGCATACATGATATCACTTAGGGTTTCCATGGGAATAGTCTCATTCATATCATACATGTGCATTGCATATCATGCATCATTTATGACTATCATTTGCATTTGCATGTTCTGTTGCTTCTCCGGCAAAGTGAAATTCCTCTTGGGCTGTTCTATACCTGATGAAACTAAAATCAATATCATTTTTCTATGTTGAGTCACGTAGTATGACATTTATTTGCTATTTACATGAGCATTTGGGTTGCCTCTTGATGCCCGTAGAATGTGTGCGTACATATATGTGTACTTCAATTTCAAACTCCAAAGACGGCAGCAAATACTTAATCTGGCTCGCAATTATATATATATATATATAATTCCATGGAAATTTTATTTATTTACGTAAGATGCATTAAATTTGTGCTGACTATTAAGTCAAATACAACTATTTTGTCAACAGGACAAGTGTAATAAGTGCTGACTATTTAAGTCCATGAACCCTGTCATCGAGCGAGAAAGCGGGCCTTCAACCATCAGATGACGGCTTGGAGCGAAACAAACAACAATTAACACACTGTCCCGTGATATGTTCACAGGCGAGGAGCCCAAAGGCCATCGTTTTCTATTATATGAATTCATCGGTTCTTAGATTACTTAGAGATTATTTTTTTTACATATATTTGAAAGATAAAGTAATCTGTTCAGATTAATTATTTGATTTTAATCTGTTCAAGTCCAAATCAAGCCATTAAAGCATACTTGAAGACTTCAAATTATTATTTGAAAGATAAAATAATCTCCAATTTTGAGATATTTATATTCAAATTAAGGGTTTTGACGAGAGATATCCAACAAATCTAAGATCACTTACTTTTGAGGTCATTAAAGCACTAAAATCATTAGTCAATGCAGATCGTTTGATTAAGAGGTTGAGAAAGTTAATTGCCAAAAGACGAAAACACCCCTCCCTCAAAGGCTATAAATAAGCTCCATCTATTCACTTTAGCCTTTGACCTTTGTAACCCTGCCTATAAGTTTGTTATGAATTATCCATGCAGCTTCTAGCCTATATGGTTAATTGATGTTATTGTAGTTATCAATTACAGCATATGTGACCAACAATTGTCTATATGGCTAACTACTACTATAGCTTCCAACTACGAACTTTATAACCAACTGATATGTGACTAATTACTACTATAGCTACCAACTACTGGCTATGTGAGTAATTATAGTCTATGTGGTTTACTCCTACTACAACTACCAACTGCAGCCCATGTGACTAACTATGGTTTATCTGGCTAACTGCTACTATTGCTTTCAATTGCAATCTCTATGGCCAACTGAAGCTACTGTAGCTACCAACTATGAATTATGTAACAAAAAATGGCTTAGATGGCTAATTATTATTGTACTTTTCAACTACGACCTTTGTGGTCAACTATTGTAGCAACCAACTATGATCTATGTAGCCAACTACGACCTATGTGGCTAACTTTCACTGCAGCTATCAACTACGACATATGTGACTAACTACATCTTATATAGCTAATTGCTACTACAGATTCCAACTAAGGTCTTTATGGTCAAGTGAAGCTATTGTAGCTATCAATTATGACATATGTGACTAATTACTAATGTAATTTCCAACTATGGTCTCTATGGCTAATTGATGCTAATAGAGTAATCAACTACAACTAATGTGAACAACTACTGTTCTGTGGCTAATCTCTATTGTAGCTACCAAAAATGGTCGATGTGACCTACAACCTATGTGGCCAACTGACGCTACTACATCTATAAATATGTTATATGTGACCAACTACGATCTATGTGATTAACTACTATTGTAGCTTCCAACTATGACCTATATGACCAACTAACATAATTATAATTTTCAATTATGTTCTTTGTGATCAAGTAATGCTAATGCAGCTACCAACTATGAATTATGTGATTAACTACGAATTATATGGCTAACTGCTACTGCAACTACCAACTATTCCCTATGTGATCAATTATGACATATTTGGCTAACTAATATTGTAGCTTCCAATTATGACATTTGTGTTCAAATGACGTTATTGCATTTACCAACTACAATCTATGTAATTAATCGTTGTTGTAGCTTCCAACTACGATCCATGTGACGAACTGACACTCTTGCAGTTATCAACTACGGCTTATGTGACCAATTATTACTACAACTTCTAACTACAGCCTCTGTGGTCAGCTGATGTTATTGCAATCACTGACTACAGCTTCTATGAATGATTGAAGTTATCAGCCTTTGTGGTCAACTGATGCTATTGCAATCATTGACTATGGCTTCTATGAATGATTGAAGTTATTATAACTTCCAACTTAGGTTTTTGTGGCAAATTACAATTATTTCAGCCACCGCTACTATATTTGTGGTCAACTGACCCTATTGCAGCAAGCAATTGCAACATTTATAACAAATTATTGTCTTTATAGCAATCAACTACAGTCTTTGTGGCCCACTATTGCTATTTTTGCCAAGAAATACACTTGTTGTGGCCCCATTATGACTATTACAGATGAACTAATATTGTACGTATGTAATTATCAGATTTGTAATTCTATATTTTGTGATATAGGAGAAGAGTGAGCATGTGTAATTACAATTTCATAGTGGATTACTTTACTTAAGCTAGATCTTATGATTTTTTTTTCTCCTTTCCATGGGTTTCTCAAGTAAAGATTATAGTGTCTCTTCTCGCAAGTTTGCTAATATCTAAGACATTAAATAATCACTATGTCATCAAAATTCTTCACACACAAATTCAAAATAATTTTTAGAGGATTTAATTTAAATTGATGGTTTTCTAATTATGTCTAACCAAATGGTCAAATCAATAAATTTATGTTTGGTTTGAAATGTATCGTAATTACAATTAAAGTATGGAAGATTTACATGCTCATCACTTTATTATTCTGTATTTACATATTTAACACCTAAATTTTAATTTTTAATATGTCATATAATCATTTCAAGAAAATTTTTATTTGATAAAATAATGATTTTTTTAATGTGAAATAAAAGATTTGGCTGATATAAATATAAAATGTAAAAAATTAGATTTTAGATTTATAAATACATAAAAATTGGGTGATATGTATGTAAATACATATAAGCATTAGCTTCTTGTCATTGGCCCGTATTTAATTGTATTAATCTGTTGCTCCTTAATAAAATTTCTGCAAAGAGTCGAGCTTTGCATAAATTTGAATTTATTAACTCCATTTAACACGTCTCATCAAATCCGAGTATATATATACGCAGATCCCGCGCGGATAGGAATGTGAAAACCTGTAGTTCCTTGTCCACAGTTAGCGCGCGATCATCTTCAGTGAGTCCGTGCTGCGTCCAACGGCGAAATGATCGATGTGAAGTGAGCCCAGCATTCATCCCCTTCGCCGTCTTTTTCATCTCCTTCCCCTCTCCCTCTGGATTTCTCTGGAACGATAACTAGTTCGTTTCTGGGTTTAATGGCGCTCAGGTTCGAAGATCATGGCCAGCTCCAGCTGCTCGAAAAAGATGAAACAGAGGAGGAAGAAGACTGCTTCGAAGCCATTGATAAATGTGAAATTCATTATATTCTCACTAATTTTCAAGGACATTTGTTATCTTTCATAGGTTTTCTGGATTTCGTCGTGCAAATTGGTCGAAATAATGTATTCGCGTTTGAGGAAACCACCCATCTTTCCCCATTTCGCGGTTTCACAGCGTTAATACAGATTTCCATCCAAATGTTTCTCCTCGGTTTCCCCAAGCAAACGAGAAGTTGATAGTATACTTCAGAAACTGTCGATGTAGTTTCTCTTTTTCTTTGTTTTAGCGAGACCGTAGGAGATCCGAACAAATATATTACGCTTCGATTGGTAATTGAGGATCGGATTTGACGAACTTCTTGTATTTTTTTTTGGCATAAGAAATTGCTTCCGTTAGCTTCGTTTTACCCTCGTCACCTCGTCATTCATCCTAATTCTCAACCGATATATTCGATCACGCAGTGATTTCACTGGGAATCAACGCCGGAGACATCAAAAAGCTTCAGGACGCTGGGATCTACACTTGCAATGGCCTAATGATGCACACAAAGAAGGTCTCAACCCTTCTCTTTTTCATTCTCATTTGGCAAAATTCAACAGATCCCTCGTTTGATTCATGTTTTCTGTTTTCGTTCGCGGATCCTCTGCAGAACCTGACGGGTATCAAGGGATTGTCCGAAGCAAAGGTCGATAAAATCTGTGAAGCTGCAGAAAAGATAGTGGTAAGAACTCCGATTGATATCCTTCGAAATTCTGTCCAGTCAGGTATTCCAGTAAATTGTTCATATTTTCTGTTTTTCGATCTCACGTCCAACTTATTTTTAGAACATCGGCTACATGACTGGAAGTGATCTTATGCTCAGAGTAAGGAATCTGATCGTTTGAAACCATTTTTAGCCTTCATCTTATTTCTACGGATCCGATTAGTTGAGTAATGTTTTAAAATGTCTACATTATCCAGAGGAAGGCCGTGATTCGAATCACGACCGGCAGCCAAGCCCTCGACGAGCTTCTTGGCGGTAATCCTATTTTGCTTTCCTTTTTGATGAAATTTTCTGGATTAATTAACGGGTCTTGACCTAGACACATAATTAAATTGTTAAAATCGCTACTCCATGGTGATTTTAAGGCGGAATCGAGACGCTTGCCATTACGGAGGCATTTGGTGAGTTCAGGTTAGAAATGATCCCTTGGTGAAAATTAAGAAACTTCCTCACAGCTTTCATGTAATATTGAATCGCCTGATTTACATTCTACACAGATCAGGGAAAACACAGCTCGCTCATACACTTTGTGTGTCTACCCAGGTCCTCTTCCTTCAGCTACTCAAGGAACACAGTCTTTAGTTTCATAACCTCACATCTAACAGTCTCGATTCCGTTCGTTAAGCAGCTGCCGATCAATTTACATGGCGGGAATGGAAAAGTCGCTTACATCGACACAGAGGGCACATTGTATCCTTTTTTTATTTAAATATTTTGTAGGTGTTCTTTGCTCAAATTGTTTCAGCTCCGTAACACGCTTTCAGCCGACCGGACCGAATCGTGCCGATTGCCGAGAGATTTGGGATGGATCCAAGCGCGGTTCTCGACAACGTAAGGCCTGTCATGTTCATCAATATATTTTATACGATTATCACAATAGGAATTAAGGCTTCGATGTGATGCTTATTGACCGATTCCATGTGACTGACGAGGACAGATCATCTACGCGCGAGCATACACGTATGAGCACCAGTTTAACTTGCTGCTAGGCCTTGCCGCTAAAATGTCTGAAGAGCCCTTCAGGCTTCTGGTGAGCCCTCCGTGACTCTTTGTTTTTCTTTATCTTGGGCATATACGATCATCGCTTTTTTATGCGGCTGCAGATTGTGGATTCGGTTATTGCATTGTTTAGAGTAGATTTCTCAGGCCGCGGAGAACTTGCTGAGCGACAGGTATAATTGAGAATCAAGGCAGCCTATTTTACTGGTCTGTTTCTCTTTTGATAAATGAATGCAATAACCATAGAGGTTTGCATTATCTACATTAATTATCATATGAATGTTGTTCATACTATTGCATTACATGTCTGATAACGTTAGTTTGCTACTGAGAACTACTAAATTGTCTGCAGCAAAAGCTGGCACAGATGCTCTCCCGGTTGACGAAGATCGCCGAGGAATTCAACGTGGCTGTGTACATGACCAACCAAGGTTTTTAAAATTCTGTTTTGGAGACGAAGAAATTTTTTTCGGCAATTTGTTTGGGTTTGGTTGCTTATCAAAAGGAATTAACATCAATTTTTACTTTTACAGACTAAGGCTGTGTTTGTTAGTGTCCTATTAATTGAATTTAGTTATAAATTTAAACTTAAATCTAGCCAAACACTAAAAAAATAAAAATTAGACCCAACCTTCCCGTTAAATGAAATTTTATTGTGTTCAGTCTCCAAAGCTCGCGTTCTGTTCCCCTTTTGCAATGGAAATCTAGTTTTAATAAATCCGAATAATTGAGAGGGATTAAAAATTTTTATTATGTTATCATTCGCAAGATTTCGACGCAGCCACTGGATTTACTAGATTTGATAAATCTTATATATTGTAATTTCATGTTGCCGCCAAACACCACCCAAGTGCTTATTGGCTGTTTAAGTTTGAAAAACACTTTGAGAATTTATGGAAATGTTCAATACATATTTGATTAAAATTAAACTAAAAAAGTCAAATCTTCTACAAAAATGATAAACTATACTAAGAGCGGCAGTAAAATTATTTATGAAATATGTTTTTGGAATGGGAGCGATCAAATAAGCTATTCACGCTCTAAAAATCAAAACTAAATCAACACTTTCCAAAATATGCACTTATCTACGAGCAGCCAAATCAGCTCTACCGAGAGCTGGATCAATATAGATAAATCATATTTTCCTAAAACTTGGCGTCATTCAATTTAATTTCAAGTGTTTGCATATTTTTGCATGCCTTTAAACCCTGCAGTGATTGCGGATCCGGGAGGCGGAGTGTTCATATCGGATCCTAAGAAGCCCGCAGGAGGTCACGTCCTGGCGCATGCTGCCACCATCCGGCTTATGCTGCGTAAAGGAAAGGGCGAGCAGCGCGTTTGCAAGATATTCGATGCCCCTAACCTCCCAGAAGCCGAAGCTATATCCTTTACTGAACATTTTCTTATCTATATCGATCTGCACATACATTTATGCTTTATTTTGATTTAATATGGCAATTAACTTCGATTTGTTTGAGTTTATGTTCGTTTATATTAAAGGATTTTTCTTTCAAGTACACCATGTGCTCAATCCTTAACTACGAAACTGCACGTTTTCCAGATAACGCCGGGCGGCATTGCGGATGCCAAGGATTGAGGCCTTTCATCTACCACGGAGGGGGATAATAAGAGTTATTTGCTTTTGGATTGCTTAGTAAGGATGTAGAATTGTGGTGGACAAAGAAGGGTGTAAATGATAGCACTTTCTGGGCATCGTTGTCTGAAAATCATTCTCACGTAGCATTACGGCTATATAGCTTTTAGAGTATGTGATGATTCCATCGCTGCGCGCACTTAATGTTTTAAAGTTAGTCATATAGGATTGAGCACATTCGCCATCCATTTTAGCGTCAAACTTCGTTTTCATTGACAGAGATTTGCTTCTTAAGACATTATTAGTTTTCTGATATTAATGAGAAATTCTACATTTGATTATCAAACTGCAGCTTGCTTGGTTGGATACATTGATAAGATGAATGTTAATTAATTGATCAGCCTTGTCAATACAATACTCGTCATTATAATATTAGGACCGCTACTAAACTCGGCAATGAAATGAAAATATGCCCGTCAACCGATATGGTGTTAGAAATAAATTTGTTTTATTATAGAAATATTTTTGCATTGAATAATTAAACTTGTTGAAAAGTTAATGGTGAAAAGTTAATGTTAGGTGAGTTGTTTGATGCTTTTGTATGTCGTAGGTGAATAATGAAGAGTTGAGATTAGTTGGGTTGTTGAACAATGTGTCATGTTGATTACATTTAAATTTGTATAAATGCCCCATAGTTTTATGGATTATGAATCAAGTCTCAAGGAAAGTTTTGTGAGCTTCTAAATTGAGATTGTGTGAGTTTGACAATAGTGCTTTGTGATTTTGAGTCTATAAAATTGTCGTTTTTCCCCCCAACAATGTGGTATCCGACCAATGGCAAATGGAGGAATACTTCCCTTCCAAGTTCCGATCCTTACCAAGTCTAATTACGATAATTGGAGTATCAAGATGAAGGCTCTACTAGGAGAACAAGATGCGTGAGATATCATTGAGAAGGGTTATAGAGAGCAAGATGATATTGTTCTATCTCAAACTCAAAGAGAAGCTTTGAAAGATTCAAGAAAGAGGGATAAGAAGGCTCTCTATCTTATCTATCAAGCAGTGGATGAAGATTCATTCGAGAAGATCTCAAGTGCAATCACAACAAAAGAAGCATGGGAAAAGATTCAAACTTGCAACAAAAGAGTAAAGCAAGTTAAAAAGATTCGTCTTCAAACTATTAGAAGTGAGTTTGAACTCTTATTCATGGAGGAATTTGAATTAATTTTAGATTTGTTCTATTGAGTGTTGATTATTTTCAATCAATTGAAAAAAACAGTGAATATGTGAGTGAAGTAAAATTTATAAAAAAATTTCTTCACTCGCTTAATCCAAATTTTAGTATATTTTTACTACCATTAAAGAAAATAAAAATTTAGAAACAATGAATGTGAAGCAATTATTGTTTTCTTTGCAAGCTTATGAAGGAAATAGAAGAGGAGAAAAACAACAAGAAGCAATGACACAACTTCTTCAACTCAATTTGAAAGAAGAAAACTTTAACAATGATGGATGCTAAAGAGGAAGAGCATGTGGTCGTGGACAAGGAAAAAGAAAAAGTGAATATAACAATTTTGGTAGTCCTGAATTTCTATCAAAGAAGGAGATGGCGAGAATCTTAACCTACATCAATCAACCAGATCAACTCTGTAAGGGATGTTTATTTGGAAAGCAACCTCGCAAAAGCTTTTCAGGGGAGTCAACTTCGAGAGCAACCAAGCCACTTGAGCTCATACACATGGATGTTTGTGTCCCTATTAAACCAATGTTCTTTGGTGAGAGTAAATATTTTATTTTATTGATCATTTTTTGAGAAAATATGGGTCTATTTTATGAAGGAGAAATCATAGGTGTTTGAAAATTTTAAAAGTTTAAAGCTCTTGTTGAGAAGAAAGTGGTCTTAACATCAAATTCATTACATCTGATCGTGGAGGAGAATTTACATCCAATGAAATTCAAAGGTATTAAGAAGATCCTTGAATTTGACGTCCTTTAATAGTGTCAAGATCCCTCCAACAAAATGGAGTTGCAGAACGAAATAATAGAACATTTCTTAACATGGCTCGAAGCATACTCAAAAGTAAAGGAATGTCCAAAGAATTGTAGATTGAGGTGGTTGCTTGTGCAATTTACCCAACAAATCGCTCCCCTACAAGAAATTTACATGGAAAAACTTTTCAAGAAGCATGGAGTGGAATGAGACGAGATATCTCTCATCTTAAAGTGTTTGGAAGCATCATATATATTCACATTTCAGACAAAAAAGGAACAAAACTTGATGATAAAAGTGAAAGGTATGCGTTCATTAGCTATGGCTCAAGTTTTAAAGGTTACAAACTTTATAATCCAATCAATGACAAAACTCTCATTATTCGTGATGTGGATTTTGATGAAAAAAATAATTGGGATTGAATAATACAAGAAAATGAATATACTTTTCTTCCTTATTTTGAATAAGAAGAAGAAAATGAGCAACTAAAAATTGAAGAGATTGTAAGAGAAGAATCACAGGAGCCCATCGCTCCATTAATTTCAGAAAAAACATATGAAGGATCAATATCAACATCTTTAAGTGAAAGTTCAAATGAGAAGACACTATGTTTTTGAAGTTACAAGATATTTATAAGATAACTAATAATCAAGATGACATTACCTTTTTTTTTTTTCTGTTTGGTGAATGTGAGCCTTTAGACCATCAAGAAGCAGTAGAAAGTAAGAAATGGATAGGTGTTATGGATGAAAAAATTAAAGCAATCGTGAAGAATGATACATGGGAGCTTGCTACACTTCCACAAGTTCACAAGATGATTGGAGTTAAATGGGTGCATCAAATGAAGAAGATTGCTCAAGGAGATATAGAGAGAAACAAAACAAGACTTGTAGCTAAGAGATACAAACAAAAATATGACATAAATTATGATGAGGTATTTTCTTATGTCGCTCGTCTTGAAACCATTAGAATAATAGTTTCTTTGGCATCCCAAAACAGATGGAAGATCCATCAAATGAATGTGAACTTTGTTTTCTTAAATGGAGTTCTTGAAGAACTTTATATTGAACAACCTTTGAGATATGAAGTAAAATGACTAGTAGAGAAAGTTTTAAAATTGAAGAAGGATGTTTTATGCTTTAAAACAAGCACCAAGAGCTTAGAATACTCGAATTGACAAGTATTTCAAAGAAAAAAATCTCATTAAATGTCTATATGAGCATGCACTTTATCTTAAAGTTCAAGATATTATATTTTAATTGTGCACTTGTATGTGCATGACTTAATTTTCACAAGTAATAATCAAAAAATGTTTGAGAAATTAAAGAAAGAAATGGTCAATAAGTTTCAAATGACAGACATTAGGCTTTTGACATACTATGTAGGCATCGAAGTAAGGTGAGAAGATACAAGTATTTGTATCACTCAAGAAGGCTATGCTAAATAAGTACTTAAGAAGTTTAAAATGGATGACTCTAATCCCGTTGTAATACCAATGGAATATGGAGTCACATTATGCCAAAATGTTGAAGGAGAAAGGGTGGATCTAACTCTTTATAGAAGTCTCGTCGGAAGTCTATGCTACTTAACTTGTACAAGGCTAGAGATTACTTATATAGTTGGAGTAATCAGTCAGTACATGAAAGCTCCAATGATAACTCATTTCAAGATTACTAAAAGAATTCTTTGATCCATTAAATGTACAATAAACTATACTTAACTTTACTCTTTTTCTAACAAATATAGAATCATTGGATAAAGTGATAACAACTTGGGTGGAGATATGGATGATAGAAAGAGTACTACCAAAGTCGTGTTCTTTATGGGAGATATAACCTTCACTTGGGTATTAAAGAAACAACTTATTGCTACCCTCTCAAATTGTGAAGCTGAAATTGTTGAAGCTACTTCATATGTTTGTCTCACAATTCAGTTAAGGAATTTACTGAAAGAATTACAATTTCCACAAGAGGTGCTCATCGAGATGCATATTGATAATAAATCAACCCTTGCATTAGCAAAGAATCCCATCTTTTATAATTGAATTAAGTACATTGACACTTGTTATAACTATATAAGGGAATGTGTTGCAAGAAAAAAACTGGAGTTGAAGTACGTGGTGTCTTAAGATCAAGCGATGAACAAATTTACTAAGCCACTGAAGCAAGAAACGTTCGTGAAGTTTTGCAATATTTTTGTTGTTGTAAATCAAGTTTAAGGGAGGGTGTTAGAAATGAATTTTCTTTATTTTAGAAATAACCTTATTTAGAATAATTAAACTTGTTGAAATGTTGATATGATGAAAAGTCAATGTTAGATGAGACATGTGATGCATGTGTGTGTGGTAGGTGTGGTAGGTGAATAATGAAGAGTTGAGATTAATTTGATTGTTGAAAAATGTGTGGTGTTGATTACTTCTAAACTTATATAAATACCCTATGGTTTTATGGGTTATAAATCAATTCTAAAGGAAAGTTTTGTGAGCTTCTAAATTTACTTTGTGTGAGTTTGAGAATTGTACTTTGTGATTTTGTGTTTATAAAAAAATTTCTTTTTTTCCCAACATATGGACCTCCATAACGACAATATAAGTATGTATAACCCTAGATCATAAATTTGATCATTCATGGATAAAATACTTGGAATGAAAAATTATTGTGTACTGAAAAATTATTGTGTACTAGGCAATCTGATCAGTAGTCAAATATATGTGCATCAGACAATAGTGCAGGTCAAGTTTTTTAGTTCCTTAGTAGGCATACTGTGTTATTATGCTTGTGGACATCAAATCTTTAAAGAAAAATATCTATATTCATTGCTTGATTGGTGATTTAATCTTAATTTATTTTGACTTCACAAAATTATTTGGTTAGTTGATCACAAGAGTCATCATCTCTAAATCAGAGCTCTCAATAAGATGTGAGAAAGAAAAGGACACATATAAAAAAAGCTCAAAATTTTTTAAGCGTAGAAAATAAAACAATTAGGATAGCCTCATAGTTATAAAGAATTTTGAAAACTCTAAATCACAATATCACATCAATACAATCAATTAGTTTATAAAATCAGCACCACCTTTTAATGACCAATTTTTTGAAAGAAAAAATATTTTTGCAAATCAATTGAAGAAGTCCAAAAAACAATACTAGAAATTCTTTTTTGAACTAATCAAACTTATTTTCTTAATGAGAAATTCATCTTATAAATTTGAAGAAACTAAATTTCTTCTGACTAAATGTTATAAACTTTGTCCCTTTTACAAATTGGCTCATTTTGCAAATTCAAAAACACTTCATCATAATGGCTTATTTATTTAAGCTTCTTAACTTTCTAACTCATGTCACAAGAGCATTTCCAAGGTGACTAGCAAAATGCCACTTTGAAATGGAATCCTTCTGATTAAGGTGATCTCAATTAATTTGTTTGAAGGATTCAAGCCTCACAACTCTATTCTATACTTGCATATATATCGCACGGTCTCTATCTGAATGTCGAATTCAATGTTAATTGTTGTCTTCTTCAAATACTCTAGATCAACAAGTAATTATAGAATGTACCATAAATGATAATCATTATGAACTTTTCATTCGATAAATTTTTTTTGTAAAGTATGATTTTGTTGGAGTCTACAATTTTCTCAACATGAACTTCAAAATCCTCCTTATGATCAAAGGTTTTTGGTCATTGGTAGTTTTGAGGTTCACCTCCACATTTAGGCATTGCTTGAAATCAACATCAAGACTAGTTTCATATAGAAATTGCCAATCGAGTGTTTCAGGGAACCAGCTTGTCAAGGTCAACTTACCAAAGAAGGAAGCTCGCGGCTCGTGAAGGCAGGCGCGGCTTCGGGAAGGAGAGTCAAGGGCAGAAAGTGTCGGGCGGAAGGCTGGAGCGCAGCAGGGAGTAGGTGGAAGCTTTTCCAGAGCGCGAGGGGACCTCGAGGAAGCTTCGCGAGAAGAATCGGGCTCGGCTATGACACGCAACCGAGAGGAATGGGCGGGACTCGCGAACGGGAGAGGGAGGCGAGGCGCACGAGGAGGGGACCGCGGGACCGAGAGGAAGAAATGCGAATGAGTGGGGGTCTTGCGTGCGTTCGATTTTGGGATTTAGGGATTTAGGGCCTTAGGAATGTAAAAGGAAGATTCAGTTTATATAAATTAATATATATATCACATTTTAGGGTTATCTGAAGTTATATATATATATATATATATATATATATTATTTTAGGGTTCTTGTAAGAGATAATAGAATCAATGTACTAATGTATATTATAATTCATATGAGATAATAGAATCAATTGAAATGTCGAAAATTAGCCCAATCGTGTAAATAATAAATTTTTAATACTGTCACTGGCCATCAAAATAATCTAAAAAACAGAAGAAATAGTTTTCAAATCAATTGAAAATGATTTACAAAGGTTGATAGGTGTAATTTAGATGTCTGATATTAAAAGCACATATCCAAATGGCATGCAATTAACTAATAGTTAATCAATTAATTAATATTTTTCATTATCGTTAATAAGTTAGAGTTCTTGATACGCCCTCAACAAATTTTTATCATTCACACGAATCTCGAGGCATAACATGAATCTTGAGGCAATCTTTGAAGCAATAAATATTCAAACTTCAATTAAGAGACATACAAATCTCCAATTTCATAATTTCAACAAACTTATAATCAAACTGACCGACTCGATGAAACAAACCCAATCATACCAAATTTGAAACCAATGATATCAAAATTAGTCTAATTAAAGTCATATCAATTTCAGATCAAGTCATTAAACAACTTTTAGAAATTTTGTAGACATTTTCAGAAAGTCAAACAAATGTCTAATCTAACAGGTTTATAGTCAAATAGATAGTCCATACAAAATGAATCCGAAGAGCACAAGATTGTTCAATTCTAACATCATTAAGACACTCAAATATTCATCAAACCTCGTTGATCTAAGAAAACTCTCCGGACCGTACAAACAAAATGGTTCACATTCCTGCATTAATTGCACCCCAAACACTATAAATAGAGTATCACCCATCTCATTAGTGGAGAAGAGCTTTAAGGCTATAGGTAGGGCTGTCAAAACGACTCGTTGTTCGCGAACAACGAGTCGTTCGACTCGTTCGCTAAGTTAACAAGTCAAACATGAACAACACGAAAAAAGTTCGTGCTCGGCTCATTTTGTCTTACAATACTACTCATCAATTATATATATATATATATAGACACACACACACACAGATACATATATTTATATATAAATTTGATTGATCAAGGCAACAATATTTATAATTAATTAAAAATATTAAATTATTAAATTAGATTCAAATAGTGTTTTAAATCTTGCCCCAATCCTTAACATCTTATGGCTACATAATTAGGGTTGTCAAAACGACTTTTTGTTCTTAAACCGCTCGTGTTCGTCTCGTTAAGCAAACGAGCCGAACATGAAAAAAATTTTTGAGCTAGAAATATAAAAATATAAACGAGTAGAACACGAGTTAAGCCCGGGTTCACTCGTGTTCGGCTCTTTTACACCCTTAGCTATAGGTGAGCTTGAGGCTTGAGCAAGAACTTGAACATTTGAAAAGGAGCTGATGTCCAACACCACTTCTCCCACCGTCGATCGCCCCCAACCATCATCGATCATCGTCGATCAACATTAACCACCACCGACCCCCGTCAACCACTACCTTCTAGTCTCCACTGATCGCCATCGGCTTACGTCCACTTCTTACAACAAATTCATCACATGCCAACATTGTAATTCATATGACTTTATAATCATTTTTTGCCTATGATATAAGAGATCTCTGAAATCATTTTTATGATCTTTTAGAGTAAAACTTTTTGGCTGTAAAACTCATATGCATAAAAAGTGTACCTTCATATGAAAATACATGTAAGTGTCCCTTCACATGGAAAAAATATTACCTCAGGAGTACTGATGCACCAGTACTCCAATGAGGGGTGCCACGTAGTCAATGATCCCACCGTGATGCCTACTATGTGGCACCCCCTTATTGGAGTGAGGTAATATTTTTTCCTTCATATCAGAGTACATTTATTCGTTTCCTGGGTTTCGAGCAAGATTTCACAAATGACGGCCCGACGGCGACATTCTCACCACCCCACTCCGCTCTTCTCCTCCTCTCTCTACCATTCGAATGTTTGTGGTTGTGGAGTAAGCCAACTTTCCTCCGTTTCTCTTCTTCCCCCTTGCAACCTTATTCTTCCCATATTCAGCGGTCATTGCCTCCTAGTCCGACTCTCTCGGCCTGGTAAGTCTCGCTTTAGCCGCTACATATTCCCCTATCGCTAATTCTTTGGCTTATTTGATCTTGTATTTTTTTCAAATCAAGGTCCAACTTGGACTATGTTGTAGGTTTTAGCTATACTTGGGGGGATTTGTAGCACGGATTGGTGATTTAATTCAACCGTCTCGGTGAAATTTCCGGTAGGGCTGGATTAATTTGGTTGATTTTTATCTGTCTTGCTTTGGTCAACCCAGTTTGAATAATCGTGTAGCTAATGCGGCATATCCGATCTCCTTAATCGATAATTCGAACACAGTTTCGTGTTTGACCTTGATGCGTGCATTTCCCCACCAGAAACAGCATCGGCGGTCTAGTAGATGAGCCAAATGCATGCATTTCAATTAGGGTCATATTTTACTTAATAATCTGATGAATTAAATTATTTGGACAATAGGAGCAGCATGCCTTTTATCTTGTCGGTTGGAGGATTGGGATGCTAAAGGTTTAGGCTCATATTGTGTCAAAACGGTTTAGATCATGGAATATGTTTATAATACTTCGTTTTCTTTACAAAGAACTTACAGATCTTACAGATTCGTGTTATCAGCACTCAGGCCTTTATCTGTAAGTTTGAATTGAAAACTGGCATTATGTATTTCTCGCGGGGGTAATTCAGTGATGGAATTCTTATACTTGCTTTCCTGGATAAACCGTTATTTTGGATGATATTAATGTTCAAGGCATCAAATAAAATTATTTTTTACTTTTTTATGTTGTTGTTCACAAACATGTGACTAATCAAAGTTTGCAAAAGATAACAACCAATGAGAGGGTGAGAAATGAGAAAAAAGAATGAATTTTTATTATGAAGGTTTCAAGGGAGATTTGCAAGGATGGAGATAGGAAATTGTAAGAGGGATCAAAAGCATTGAGAGGCGTGAAGCGGGAATGCTGTGAGGCTAATCAGTTTTATGTTGTACTGAGCTTCTTAGTTGCCTACTTTTTTAGCTTCTTGGCTCACTACTCGCTTGAGGAATTCTGAGCTCAACTTTGGAACCTCTGCACAAAATCAAGGGGTCTCTATTTTTAGGTCTAGTGAGAAGTGTTGCTTCCTTTCTTAACTTTCTTAGTTTTCTATCTCATTTGAAATAATTTCCGTTAAATATTGAAATCTCTATTATTCTAACAGCAACGATCCAATTGCAATCCGTAATAGTCTCAACCACCTTAACAATGGAGCAGTTGTAATAGCTTATTAGTGAACATGACCCCACTAGCTAGAATAAACTTGCTATGATTGTCAAAACTCACTCTTCATGACTATTCGACTACACTCAGTATTAGTGCAGAGCACCTCACAAAAGAGGAAAAAAAAACCGATGGAATACCAGAGGTGATATTTTCGTTATATGAATTAACTAGCACCAATATAGAGGCCAGAATTCCTCATCCTAAGAACCTTTAGGGAATTTATATTTCCCCCAGTGCATACCTACAATGTACTACATAAATGTGTTACTAATATAATAATTCTACTAATAATATTCACAAATCCTAATTAAGGATACTAGCTACATAAGATCCTTTTCGTTTAATAAGAACCCAACTTGAGTTGAGAAACTTATGTCAATCCATCATCTGGAGAATGGTATTTGTAAATGTTTGCTACATTTAAGGTGGAGAAAAACTTAAGGTCCAATGGAAGGGAGACGATATAAGCATAAGTATTAATTTTCCCAATGGGGAATGGACCAAGCTTGTGGTTCTAAAGTTTTGAGTAGGAGACTGCAGGAAACCATTCTTTGCATAATCGAATCATAACCAATTCGCCCATTTCAAAGAGCTTCAATCTTCATCGTTGGTCTGCTATTGCTTTATATTTGGCATTGGAAATTGACAAATTGTTAGTTTCTCCTTGACGTCAACTAGCATTGAGTCATAATCCTCCAACCATTGGGTTTCTCGAGAGCTAGCTGGCTTTGGAAGGATAGCTATGTATACAATATGGTTAGTTAGTTTAGTGTAGATTATACTGAAAGATGTCCTCCCGGTGGATCTATTAAACACGGAGTTGAAAGAAAACTTAGTTTGTCCAAAGACTCCCATCATTTGAGGTGATCGCCCGCTAAGCAATGGAGCATGTTTCTAAAAGTGCAGTTTACGACCTCTATTTGATCATCGTCTTGTGGATGTTGCTGCGATAAGGTGTAATTCGATTTTGAACTGCTTCTATAATTCTCTTCAAAGACAACTGGCGAACTTAACGTCTCTATCAAAAATGAGACTTCTAGAAATGCCATGTAAATGAAAGATCACCTAAAAAAATCTTATAACATCAAAGGCAACAAAGTTCCTCTTGCAGGCCAAGTGTCATTTCACTGAATCAATCAACCATTATCATCATGAAATCAACACCCCGTGCTATCATTGGTAGTTCCAATTCCCAACACAAAATCAACACTATTGTTCTCCTGAATTGATTCAGGAATGGGAAGAGGAGAATATATCAATATTTTGGCCTATTTTCTTAAATCTTTGATATATTGTGTACTTCTCTACAAAGTTAAAAGCACATTGTTGAGTTTTTGGCTTGAAGAACTTAGCTTGTTCGAGCCGTAATGTTTGTCCTGCCCCACATGTGCTACTAACTCCTATGTTGACCACTTTTGTTGTGAAGCATTAAGCTTTTCATTGAAAATTTCTGGAGGTTGGTGTTTTTTAATGAGCACTTCCCTAACTCCTACAGCGAGGAGCACATTTTGACCTGAAGGGGCTGTTTAAACTCCAAAGTAACAAGCACTAGTAAGGGGCTGTTTAAAGTCCAAAGTAACAAGCACTAGTTTAGAACTGAGTACTTTTTTTAAATGTAGAAAACTCTCTTTTTGTAGACCCCACTGTCGGTCAACTTTTTGATTTTGAAAAGTATTTTTTATAGTTTTGAAAAGTAGATGGTTTAATTTAACCTAAAATACATATAATTTTATGAAAATAGTGTATTTTAATTTTAAAAAAAATGAGACTGACTAGATCTCATTTGCCCAATAAATTTGTATAATCGTGCCCAGTACCACAAATGATACACCTTCTCGAAAGATAAGTGTACCCTGCGGCGGTGGGCCCAATCATACAAACTTACGAGGTTTGTGACATCTATTTGGTCTGCGAACCTTTTATATGTGACCGACAAATTCCCCTATTTAATACAAAAATTAAATAAAATTTATTTTACCTGGGTTCCAAGTTTCCTATAGAGGCAAACCCCTATAGTTAATTACATCCCAAGTGACGGGAATCACTTGAGAAAACTCTCGATAATGATCAGTGATTCTAGTCTTCAAAAAATTCAAAGTTCAGGTTTCCAAGGTAAGACGTGAAAAAAAACAAGTGTGAATGACTCAAGTAAGAACAATCCTTTCAGGAGTCAAAAGGAAGTAAAGGGTAGGGAATGTCACAGATTTTGAGGGGAATCCTCAGTGACCTACCAAACTATCCTACTGTGCGTCTGTGTTTTAGGGAAGATTTTATTTGAATGTTGAATCCTGTAAATTTTATTATTTGAGACTTACATTTGCATAATAACTGGTTATGTAAATAACCCGCAAAGATAAGAGGTTTTACGTCATTCTAGATAACAACCTCGGAACCTAAGACGAGTTAGGATTTACGCTGCATAACATGGTTGTGCAGTGGCCTAAAAGAGGGTGAGGTTTTATGTCGCTCTAGGCGAGCTACCTCAAAATCCTATAAGTTGTTTAAACTAGGAAAATTTAGTTGGTGTAGACTCGTTTTGCTGTTGTAGAACGACGACCACCTCCACCTGTAGTCTGCTCAAAACTTCTTGTCGTGCTGCCCACGAAGTTGCTCCTAGTTTAAACTCCTTGTCGTGCTGCCCACGAAGTTGCTCCGATGTCGCTCTAGGCGAGCTACCTCAAAATCCTATAAGTTGTTTAAACTAGGAAAATTTAGTTGGTGTAGACTCGTTTTGTTGTTGTAGAACGACGACCACCTCCACCTGTAGTCTGCTCAAAACTTCTTGTCGTGCTGCCCACGAAGTTGCTCCTAGTTTAAACTCCTTGTCGTGCTGCCCACGAAGTTGCTCCGAGTTCTTCGTTGCAGTAACAGTCCTAAAGTCTAAAGCTCAAACAGTTTTACCATGTGTTTTTCAGTGTCTCAGTTTGGTTGTAATTGGGGGGTTCAAGTTGATTAGAGCGACACCTGATAGGATCTCACGGTTCCCTCGTTCCGGCATCACTATTTTCTTTTGAACTTACTTAGTTTAAACGAGTTGTGAAACCCATTTAAACCAGGGAGATCTCGTTATCAACCGTGGGTTGCCTTCTCCGAAGGACTCCCGTAAGTTCGAAAGAACATGTTATTATTATTTTTTTTTTTAATTTTGAAAAAGTTGTTTAATTAAAAAAAAAATTTTGAAAAAAAAATGTTTTGTTTTGAAAGTGAGATTGTATTTAGTATCTGCATAATGTGTTAAGGGTAAGAGTAACTGCAATAAAAAAACAACAACAAATAAAATGTACCTGCGTACGTGTCGTATCTACTGCTGCAATTCTTGTTGCATGTTTAACTCACAAAACACAATATAATTTGCTGGGAATTTAAGTAAATTGCAGAGAAAAGAAAACAGTAAACAATAGAACAAGTTGTAGTAACAACTAGGAATTCCATAAGAGGTGATCCTAAGGTCTTCTATAACTCCTGACAGCAATCCTACGGCTTCCCGTGACTCCGGGCGGCAGCCATGAAGCCTAAACGACATCCTACAACTATCTTACAGCTCTCCCAACACCTATATGACAATGGACAGCACCTCTACAACGATTAACAGCTTTCAAGCAGATAATTACAGCAAAGCTCAGTTTCCAATCAGCACTTCTACAGTTCTCAGTGACTCTAAACAGCAATTCGAAACACCTAGCGTCCCTTGTATAGCTTCCTACAACACTTTTATGGCCTGCTACAAACTTAAACAGCAATTTGAAAGATCAAACAACACTTTTATGGCCTGCCAGAAACCCAAACAGCAATTTGAAAGATCAAACAACACTTATACAACAACTTGGACATTTCCTACAACCTCCTACAGCAATCGCCAACTTCAAACAGCAATCTGGACATTTCCTACAGCCTCCTACTGCGATCAGCGATTCTTAACAGTGCTCATATTAGCCCAAGACAACCCTTT